TGGGGCAGGAATTGCCCTGCCCCATCCACATTACAACTTTCAGCACAGAGCGGGTCGTAGTTACCAATTTCTGCTGTAGTACCAATCTTGTCATCGCTGGCATGAGCACTCTTTGAAGCCGTGTAGATTTGGATCTGCAGAACGGTGGTTGGATGAGATAGAGGGAGAGGGTTTCTGCGGTCCTGCCTGCATGCGAGGCTGATAGCACTCCTCCTCCTCACGCACCACCAGCAGCACAGCTGCTCCCATGGAGGACCTTTCACCAAAATACCTTTAAATCCAATGTAAGTGGTGTATTTTTTTTTTTAAATAAGTAAAAATAAACACCAGTCATATTAGAGTGGGGGAAAAACCTCGCTGTAGACAAGCAAGCATCTCCTCAAAATACCTCTAAATCCAGTATTAAGTGTTGTATTTTTTATAAAAAATAAGTAAAAAAAAAACACCAGTTGTATTAGAGTGGGGGGAAAAACCTCGCTGTAGACAAGCAAGCAATATGTTTAAGGCTGGCCCGGGGGGGGGTGGAGGCCCCATCCTGGATGTGTTTAAGAATAGGGTGGATGATCTACTTGAGGACATGGTTTAATGGGGATTAGGGATGGTTGGACTCGATGATCTCTAAGGTCTTTTCCAACCTAGAAATCTATGAATCTATGAACAAAAGTCGATACGCTCCATCCCTTGAACCCTCTGATTCAAGGAGGAGCTGATCCCATTCCGTTTTCTAATATAAGTGAAAACTATGAAACTCAGCTTAGGTTTGCAAAAATGCGTTTATTTTTTTAAGCATCAGTTTTTTGGAAAGAAAAATGTAGGATGACCTCCATAGCTACCATAACAGCACCTTCAACTTGTTTTCACCTGAGAAATGGGCAATTGTATGAGAAACAAATCACGGTAAACAGCTCCCAGTCACCTTCTAGCTGATCAAGGTCCATAAAAATCCTCAAAACTACCATTGGAACTGAAGTCTCCTTCATTGACAGTGTTATACAGCACCAAGCTTAGGAGAAAATTGCTAAATTGACAAAAATATCTTCATGCACACTTAACTGTGTACCTGAGCATCAGCCTCGGCTCCCATTTTTAAAGGGACGTGCAGTGTGTAAACGTGTGTGTGTGTATCATTTGCACAATGAACTGCCAGTTGAACTGGAGACATCATTTCCATTGACTTCAGTGGGAGATGGACTGTTTGAGTTCTCACCAGAGAACTAGAGAAGCCTGCAATAACACTCTCTCTGTGAAAGTTACTTCCTTCAGATAGGCATATTTTGGTATTTTTATTGATTTGCGTGTGAGATTAAGTTCATCATACTGTAGGCCATCGTCATCATCTCACAAATGGGAGGAGAACCACAGGAGCTTATTGTATTTAATCAGTATGTCTCCGCTGCCTTTTAGAGGAACTCCAGTGTAATGGTTATTTAAACCTGGCTGTTGTTTGCTTTTTTTCCCAATTTATTGTAAAACGGTGAAGTGGGAAAACATAACATGCAGAAAATTTGTGGCTGACTTAGAAAGTAACTAAGTGGAACTGAGTAGTTAAACTTAAAATATACTTAGCAAGTGTTTCTGGTATTTCTTCTGGTTTTGTAGAAATATGTAAGATGCTGCCACTGGTGCTGACTGGGAATTGTACATATTCCTTTGGAAAAAACGCTGGTTTTCAAAGGCACTAGATCAGTGCCTGCGTTCAGCCAAAACTATCCCCAAGAATCATAAGGATACGCTTGAAGTTGCACAAAATGGCCAAAGAGCTGTCACCAATTTAAAATGAGGGGTGAATGGCATCCTTTTTTGTGGCTGTTTTTCATACCTTCGTAGCTGATTATAGAAGTGTAAACATTAAGATCACAAGAGGAGCTGGCGGAAAAAATCACGAAAAAATCATTTCTTAATTTTCTTAAGAAATTAGCCCATGCTCTACTAGCGAAATCCCCTTGGCAAGGGCACCTCTCTTTTTCAAAAAATGTGTCAACTGGACCCATTGAGGTGAGGTTTCATGGGGCAGATGCATCGCAGGTACCTCTGGGGCCGAGAAGCCACACGCAGAAGAGAGTGAGGACCTGAACGGTGCCACCAGCATCGTCAAATCCACCACCCTGACGCCGAGTCTGGCTGTGCCCAGCCCGCGGTGCGCTCCTGGTGGTCCTGCCCCTCGGGGTCCGAAGGCGAAAGCCACGTGCTGATGGATGCCCTCCCTTGCCAACGGGGGCAGCTCAAAGGGGAAGAAAGTCACATGGAGTAAGGGGAGGTCCTACTTTCTGGAGTGTTTGAGGAGCTGTTGGGAGAATTTTTCTTGCAGATGGTCTTGCACCAGCTGGAGGTGTGAGTTATGGGATGCATCGGTAATTAAGGAGCAAATTTAGAGCTGGGTGAGGAGGAAATGATGAAGGAGAGCGGGAGGCGGAGTGCAGGAAAGATGAAGAAGTAAGTGTGGTGACCAGTGGGATGCACTCAAAGCCAGGAGCGGGCAGTGGCAAGCCAGGACCACCGTGCTGAAGCAAGTTGCCAACCTTCCTGTGCCCGCAGCCCTGAGCACACAGACCAAATCTGTCATTTATTATTACTGGCCGTTTTCAGGTTCTCGTGTGCGTTGTGTGTGTTTAGCAGAGAAGACACTTCAGCAGATGTCAGCGTATGGATGTGGGATTGCCTTTGGCTTGATGATAAAGCCATGGAGCTGGGAAAATAGAAGAAAAGCTCCTGGAATATTTCCACCGTTTCCTAGCAAAAGCTTTGTCGTTCTCTCCTCTATGCTTTCTAGTCCAGCTAGCTCAGGCGTTAGGTGGCACAGTGGGAGGTGTAGTCACACCAGTTGGGTTGCTCATTAGCTCCCAAGGCATCGGTCTTAAACAAAGTATTATCTTCTCTACATGGAAAGATTTCCACTGCCACAAAACTCCCCTGAATAGACTTGCAGGATCTTCCATAGCGGAGCTGGCAATCAGGTATCACAGAACAGTCCCAGATTTCAGATGAAATATCTTCATTCTTTTAAGCTGGCTTTCTTGTCATTCCTTAATTGACGAGCCGCTCTCTTTGCTCATGAGCCGACTCCTGATGACCATGCTGCTGTGCCTTGATATCTGGTCCTGAAACTCTGAAGTCATGAAGAAATACAGGATGGGATCCAAGCAGCAGTCCAGACTCGCAAGACTTAAGCAGAAGGGTTGGACGTAGAGCGTGATGGTACTCAGGAAGCAGTCCGTAATGACGTTTTCTTTCACCAACATGTAGAAAAAGAAGTTGATGTGGTAGGGTGCAAAACACACGCAGAACACAACGGCGCACATGGAAACCATCCGTAAAGCCTTCCGCCTCTCGCCGCTGTTTTGCGGTATCTGGAAGCCCCGAAGAGAGTCTTTTGTTTTCCAAGTACAGAATAAAATGATGACGAGCGGGACGACGAACCCGAAGAGCTCCGCCGTGCCTGTCATCAGCACGGTGGCCACCTTGCTGTCAATCTGCCGGACTTGGAGGTCTGCGAAGCAGGTGTTGGTGTTTTTGGCCAGGCCGTAGCTCCGCATGATGGGGAAGGGCAAGCAGGCCACCCCCACGACGAACCACACCGCAGCGCTGATGGCCACGTCGTACCGCCGCTTCCAGTCCTTGGCTTTGAAGGGCTGATAGAGGAAGAAATACCTCTGGATGCTGATGCAGGTGAGGAAGCAAATGCTGGCGTACATGTTGAGGTACTTCAGGTAGAAACACAGTAAGCAAAGGAATCTCCCAAAAGGCCACGTGGAGTTAATATAATAGTATATTCGCAGTGGCAGCGAGAGGACGTGGGCCAGGTCGGCCACGGCCAGGTTGATCATGAAGATGATGGCTTTGTTGTTCTTGCTGATGAAGCGGCACAAGACCCAGAGGGCAGCGCTGTTGGCCAGGAGGCCGGGGATGAAGATGATGGTGTAAGTGGCGGCGTAGAGGCTGTTTTTGAACGTCACGTTGTGACTGGAGCAGGTCTGGTTGCTCAGCATCATGACTGTTCTGCTGGAGGCATCTGTGGTGGTATAGGGCAGGTGGGTCATTCCTGTAGAGAACAAAAACAGAGGCTGTGAAGGCAAAGGCACTGCAAGAGCTGTAGATATTCACATTGGCATTTCCTATTTGTCTATTCAGTACAAAGTAGAGGCTTGGAAACATCCTCTGCAAAAAACATCGTGCTGTCTTCTTCAAAGCTGCCCTTTCAGAGGTCTCCCACTATTCACACAGAGGTGGGGGCCGTTCTCGTTGTGTCAGCCCCCTTGCTGGGCTGTCTGAGTGCCACAAGCACGGGCAAAGCTGTGCCATACTGCTAATAGAGGAGCAGGAGAAGCTGCCTACCCTTTTGGCAGCTGAAAGTCATCTGTGGTTCGGTCTTTGGGTAGCAGGGGAGGAACACATGGAAGAACGGAGCGCCACCACCCAGCTTCTGCGCGTGAGCAGCCACATCAACCAAAAAGTGAGTGCCAACCACTGAATCGTACCTGCCGCTAGGCTGTACGTTAGGCATTGTGTGGGTGACCCCACCAGTGGACCTCGTGGACCCCCCTTCTCTGGCACGATGGGGACAGGCCGTGTGGGAGAGGGTAGCAGGGACCGGGCTCGAAAAGTTTGGTGGTTGTGAACGCAGCGGTGCTGCCACGTACTTCAGTGAATGTAACACGCAGAGACTTCATCCCATCCCTGACCCCCGCTTCTCATCACCCCAGCAGCCTCAGCTTAACTCTTGTTTTCCATCAGATAGTTTTATGTTTAGATACTTCCAACTTCTGGCTCTCCTTTGATTCAGTTGAGTAGGGATGGCAAAATGTCACACGCTAAACTGTTGGACCATCTTGCTTCGGTCAGTTTTTGTCTGGCACTTGTCTTCAGTGAGGAACACAGGCAGGAGGAGTTTGGGTTTGTGGAGTATTTCCCCACAGGGTTATAATTCCCGTTACAGTGATCCCCTCCTGCATCTAATACAAGAGTTAAAATGGAATATCTGCTTCCCGTTTCATGTGGCACTGCAGACACTGATTCATTCCTTCTGACTCATTTTCTGCACCGCTGGCCAGGGGCATTTGCCAGAAAAAGTGCCTCTGTAGGTAGATGTTAGTAACTCGTGCCCTGTTACTGACGATTTTTTCCTTCACGTTACAAAAAAAGGGCAGTTTAGAGCTCTCAAGTGACAAAGAGCACAAATCGCTGGTGTTTCAGCTCGTTCATCGCTGCGGTACTCGGACTTGGCAGCTCACGCGGACGCTGTTCAAGGCTGCTGTGGAGGGCTGGTGATTCAGGCCCCAGAAATGCCCAGACGTGGCGAGGTCCCGGCGGGGCACACGGGCCACCCTCGCCGCAGGGGCGGTGGCTCTGGCTGGCGCTGACGGTGAGCAGGGCCACCCAACCGCTGCTCCTGCGGGCTCCCCAAACAGCTGCTCCAACCGACCTTCTTGCTTTTCTTTTTAAACTTGTCTTTCGTTTTCTCGCAGTCTTCAAAAAGCAAGGTCTGCACCTTCAGCTCCTGCAGCACCCTCAGCTTCAGCAGCTGGGCTACATCCTTCGGTTGCATCAAACATCAAAGAAATGCTGCAGTTGAGAAACCCTCTATCTAATCCCCTTCCTGCACCAGGATGGCACGAGTCCACAGAAGCCAGGTGGCTCAGTGCACACCTCCTGGGCTGGTTTTGTCCCTCCTGGGCAATCTCTCCGCTCTGCAGTTCGCTCCTAGTAACCCTTGCCCCGAGGCAGCTCTGGAGCAAGATGCTCTGCTCCATGGTGGGGTGTCCCCAGCTGTCCCTATCCCAGGACTCCAGATCCTTGCTCCTATTGTGTGACCATAACGTGCCCTAGAGGAGGGAAGAGGCTCAAAGGGTGCTAGAAAAAAGGGAGAAAGATGCATCTGGCCCATGGTCTTATCATCACTGGCCTGCGAAGCAACATTGGAGGCCTCCAGCTCTCCTTTCTGGTGCTCCTCGGGACATTGAGACAAGCAGCAGACCGGGCACGGAGCTGAGCACTGGGATGTTCACTCAGAGCGTTGCTTCTCAGAGTAGTAAATTGGGGTCACATCCCATTTCTTGAGAGTGCTGTGAATTTCTGGTGCTCAGGATCTGGTTTGTCTGCAGCTCTAGCTGGCCATGCTGTCTGCTGCCCTTGTCTCCAGTAAGAGCACTGCTCACTACACCCAATTTCTTCAGGTGGCTTCCCACTTTGCCAAGAAGCCATCAAAGAGCCACTTTCAAAGTTATTAGCTTCCTGGTTTCCCTTGGAGGTCGAGCTGAGGCTGATGGGCCAGTGCTCCTCCAAAAGGCAAGCGCTGGATGGCCGCTGAAGCCACGGAGGATTAGGTACCTTTGCAAGATGTTCTATTTTAAGGACACGCTTGTATTTAAATGCTGACCAGGGGGGAACGTGTTCTTCAGTTCAAATGAGTCATAACAGTCAGTTTGCTTGTCGAGGCCCCTAGATACAGTTTGCCCTTATTTACATTTCGTGTGACAGCTCAGGACCAGACCGCGACGTCAGCAATCAGAACGATCAAGTTCAGGTTGCTGAGTCAAACTGGCCTCTGAACGGAGCCATTTAGGGTAAAGCGACGTGTCTGCTGGAAGATGAGGGTGATGCTGAGTGCACATGCTTGGTACCAGAATTCACCCTTCGCTTTCTGATGGCAACAAACCATGCCCAGGCCTGCAGGTGGGCACAGCGCTGGGCTGCAGCGTGCCCGAGACCATGGTGGAGCCCACAGCATGGAGAGGTTCCCCCTTGGCCTTCATCTTCATCTGCTAATTGTCCACAAGGTGTCAGAGTTAATCAAGATTTCTTTTCTTTGCCCTCCTCTTGAAGGTGTTTTGGTAACCCCCCAAGGGACTGGGGCTGCCTGAGTGGTGGGAGGCAGAGGCCGTGGTGTGACGATGTTCTCATGAGTTGGTGTTGCTGTCTTCTAGGCTGATCCCAAATTGAAAAACTCTTGTGTTGCTGAATAACTGACTAGGAAAAAAAAAAAAATGCTCCCAGGAGAAGTCCTCATATTTACAAGGAAATGGACTGAGCAGGATGACCTGGCTGGCAGTGCAAAAGCAGTAACACAATTAATATGTACGTGGGTGATGTCTGTTGGCTCATCAGAACAGAGCGCTTTCTGAGAATGAATGACTTCATTACAAAGTCATAAAAATATAATGAGATTAAACCGTCTCTTTAGACAAAATGCACCCAGGCATGTGCACAGGGACTACAAACTGATGGTATTTCTGCCCTTCCTCCCAATTCTCTTGTTCAGGTTGAAGCTTAATCCCACACGGTCCCCTTGACTGCCCACCTGTGCACGAAAGCAGAGGGACAGAGATACCACTGAACGTCCGTCTGAAATGAGGTCTCCAAAGCTGGTAAGAAAGCAAAGTCATTAGCTGCATGACGTACGTACAGCGAAGGTAGAAGGCTGAAAAGCTCCATCAGATTTTACTGACGTTATTTACATATTGCAGGGAGCCAGCTCCTGCTTCCACATTGTTTTCAGAATGCAAAATTTCAGAAAAATTGGTAGTCAGTAAACACAGTTATCTAACTACTGGTTTTTGCATTTTAATTAGAGTCTGTATTTCTGAGGCTCTTGCAATAAGGAACTAATTAAGCCTCCACATTATTATTTGTAGCTGGATGTTTGGAAACTAAACGTGGCATTTCCAGGAAAAAGATGTTCATCTTGACAGGACTGAGAAGCACAAGGATGTCATTCCAGAAAAATGGATCTTTCTGGCGTGCCCATCAGCAGGCGGGTTAATTGATTTGATTAAGACACAAATGCCTCTACACTCTGCCCTCGTTGCGTGGCCACAAACAGCTCATGCTATTGCACTCGCATTCGGTGTGAAACCTCTGCAGTCAGAAGTGGAAAGTTCTACAGTTAAGGGTACTTTTTCTGGTTTTCTGCTTCCACAAAAAAAAAGAAGCAGATCTGGGTTGTCTGATCTGTTGTGATGAGATGTTTTCGGTTTGCAACGTTAGTCTGCTTCTCACTTCTGCAGCTCGGACAGCTGAAGGAGCAGGGCAGGAACATGCAGCAGCACACGGGCAGCCTGGCTGGAGAGCTTGCTGCAGGCTGGGCAAAGGCTGTCCCACGGACAGATTTGCATCATGGACGCAATTCCTATGGCTGGTGATGTTCACACCGGAGCCAAGGTTCCAGCACTTTCACTTGGCCAAACTGGTTCCGTGCTGTTTTGCTGTGCTGCTGCCAGAGCAGAGCTGCCCGTGCAGGCGAACGCGAGCCCCTCGCCAAGCCACCCTGTACAACGTGCAGTTTAAAAGCTTCAGTCCATGAATCAAGTGAAGTTTTAATCCAGGCCAATGACTGCAGTCTGAATTATGAATTTAAACTGCTTCAGGATTCTCATTAACAAAAACAAGTCCAAGCGATCTCGTTATTTTTGTCATCGTGTATCCCCCGACTGATATTAATTTCCTACTGTTGCAATTCGGGCACGGAGCGTTGGATGGCACAAAGACGGGCAGCACGCGGACATTTTTTACGGTAATATACATCACAGATTTGCAAGTTTCTCTGAATTTTAAAATAAAAGATACTCCCTGAGGAATCAGGCAAAAGAAGGAAACGGTGCCTCGTACCGACACCGGAGAGCAGCTGGAGAACCGCTATTTGCCCACGCTGCAGCGTCGCGCTCTCTTTAGCGACAGCAGCTTTGTGCAGAGGGTTGGCGCCCCAGCGGGGCTGCCACCTTCTTCAACACCCAACGCGCCACAAACCTCCTCCTGGCAAGAGCCGACCCCGAAGGAAAAACCCGAGGAGAGCAGCGTTTTCCTGGGAAGCAGCACGGGCACGCGAACGGTTCCAGGTCACGGAGAGGGAGCTGGGAAAGCAGGCTTACCTTGCCAGGGAGAAACCCCGCGCGGAGCAGCCGTGCTGCTGGGAGGAAGTGGAGCGTCCGGGCTGCACCGCACCAGCCGTGTTCACGTGTGTGCTGCGACCCCAGTGACATCATGGATGCTGCAAGGT